GGGCCACGAAACGTGTGAGGGGTGTGCCGAACTGGGTGTGGCTGGCGCATGCGGGCGGCAGCACTGGGGCCTTCGGTGGAGCTCCCTATGGGGCCACGAAACGTGTAAGGGGTGTGCCGAATTGGGTGTGGCTGACGCATGCGGGCGGCAGCACTGGGGCCTTCGGTGGAGCTCCCTATGGGGCCACGAAACGTGAGAGGTGTGACGATGATGATAATGATGACGATGATGGTGGGTGATGACGATGATGATGATGATGACGATGATGATGATGATGACGATGATGATGATGATGATGCTGATTGGAGGAGGGAGGAGGAGAGGAGGAGGAGGAGGAGAGGAGAGGAGAGGAGAAGAGGAGAGGAACGCGGGGCACCGTCTCTTCAAAACGAGGACCCAACACCACAGGATGGTTGGGAAAAAGACCAGAAACTATTAAACAAATCGTGCCCAAATTATTGTTTGACTAGTTTTGGTGTATTTTTTATTTGTCGTCGAAAATCCCCCTGTAGGGGGACAGGCCCGACGTAAGGATAGGGGGAAGAGGAAGAGGAGGAAGAGGAGGAGTAGGAGGGAAGAAGAAGAGGAGGAGGAAAAGGGGGCGGAGGAAAAGGGCGGCCGGCTCAACCCGCCGCCACGCGCGTAGCAAAGCTATGGAGGCTCCGGGAACCCCAGCGGTACCAGCCGCCCAGTGCGGCCCAACTGCGTGGCTGCGCCGCGGCGCCCTGGCCGAATCGGGCGAGGACGCGCACCCGGAAAACAGCAAGAAGCTCGGCCGCAGGCGGCGCCAAGGACGACCGCGCCGCGGCCGCGCGGCAGGGGCCGCGCAGGCTGCCGCGGCCTGCGCCGCGCGCCGTGCCTCCCGCGCGCCCCCGCGGGCCGCTGCCGTGCCGGCGGCGCGCGTTTGCGGCGGGGGGCACCATCCTGGCATCGCTCGGACGTCCATTTCCTGTGCTTTTGTAGGTTTCGTGCATGGCTTCTTCGCCAAATGATCAAGAGGCTCCTCGATCGCCCTCGCCGAGAAAAACTGCACACGTCCGAGCGATGCCAGGCCATCGCGAGCCAGTGCCCGCGCGCGCCGCGCGGCGGCCGCGTCGTCGCACTCAGTGGCGCGCTGGACGGCGCCGCCAGGCCCGACCAAGCTCGCGAGCGTGGGTGCTCGCGGCGTGGGCGGCGGCCCCCAGGGCCAAGACCTCGTGTGCCACGGGCCTCTCCGCTCTCCCGAGGGGCAGCGCGCCCGACGCGCAGGATGCCAGGCCGCCCACAGCAGCCTTGGCAGCAGCGACGGCTAGACGATTCGCGCGCCAGTCCGCCGCGTTTACGGCATGCCCGTCGGACCTCCTGGCACCGCCGATGCTGGCAACTGAGCCGTGCGCTGGCATCCAGGTGGGCCTCAGGCCACTGGAAACTCCGAGGTGTCGCCGTCCAGGAGCATGAACACGCGTGACCTGAGCTACGAGAGCACGCACGTGGGCCGGGTCGCCTGGGCCGTGTCGGCCGCAGCACTGGTCAATTGTTGCGTCCATGGGACGGTCTGCTCTGCTCTCGCCCTAAAGCCGCGCACATCCATGCTAAACAAACGGTTACACAGCGTGGACCAAAAGCAGGGTGGTTCTAACCATATATGTTGTGAATATATGTAAAGCAATCCCTGTGACACAGTCCATGCTGCGAAATCTATACTACGCGATCTATGTGGTGCGATCTATGCAGTGCGATGTACGTGAAGCAATATATGTGGTGCAATCGATGTGGTGCAAACTATGTGGTGCTCTCTATGCGGTGCACTCTATGCGGCGCAATATATGTGGTGCAATCTATGTGGTACACTATAGGGTGTGAACGCAACGCGATGCAAAGTAATGCAACGAAACGTGCAGCAATGAAAAGCAATGCAAAGCACGGCATGGCAGTGCAAAGCAAAGGAGCATGGACATGCAAAACAATGACAAGCAATGCAGGCCCTCACAACGGGCGGCGACGAGGCGGCGACAGCGACAATGCAGCCTCAAGGCCGCCACACACGCCCAAATGACGGGCTGCGACACGGCAGCGACGGGGCGGCGACGGCGACGAGATAGCCGCCAAACCGCCAAACAAGTCCAAGGGACGGGCGGCGACGAGGCGGCGGCGGGATGGCGACGGCGACAACATAGCCGCCAGACCGCCTCACACGCCCAGACGACGGGCGGCGACGAGGCGGCGACGGGGCGGCGGCGCGGAGCGCCGCCAGGGGGACCCACCGCCGATCCAGTAAATCCGTGCAGAGCTCCGAACGCGTATGTTATGTAGTTGCTTTCCTCTGTGGCTCAAGTGCGACGACAGAGGCTTGACAGTGTGTAGCAGCTGCGCGGATTGAGGGGGGTCCCTTTTCGAAGCTGAGGTCTCGTGCACAGTACTCTCTCGACCACTGGATGGCCAACCATCTGTTCTCACTTATGCAGCAGTTGCACGGACGATGGCCGTTCGTTTTCGCAACGGTGCTCGAAGCCCAGCGGCGGAGACCAGGGAGACGACTCGACAAGCCGACGAAGCTGCGGGCAACCCTGGAGCAACACCCGGCGCGCCCACGCGGAGCTAGGCGACGTGGTCTGTTCACACCGTGAGCGACAAAAAGAAACCCAAAGATCCGCGTCTTTGAAACAATTGGAGCGGCCGATTTGGGGGGCCTGAGACCATACAAAAAAACTACTCGGAGGGAAAAACCGCGTGGTCGGGATATCTGGGGACGCCGCATGTATGGGAATGGATCTTACGCGAGAAGACATAGCAAACTTACGTCGGGACTTACGCGGGCCACACGCGCGGCACGCAACGTTGGAAACCAAGGCGCTTTGGCGCGACCTTACGCGGGAAACTTGCGCACGAATGCCCGCACAGGCGACCCCGATGTCTTCCGACGTCAGCGTGGACCCCCAGATGTCAGCACCCCTTCCCTGGGACAATTGCTTCATCCCGAGTCGTTCCGTTGACGGTCCTGGGGCCCGGGCGAGGGCCCACAGCGGCCCGAACATTGCTAAAGGGCTCCCGTCCTGATGGGTGTCACGGCGCGAACAGGTCTGGGCACCCAGACAGTTTTTCTCGATGCGAGGGCCTCCGAAGATCTGGACCAATTCCCTACAGGGCCAGTTGTTCACCTTCAATAGTACTTGGATGGCCCTGGGGCTCAGCGAGGGCCCAAAGCCAACATCGAACGAGCCGGCTGCTTCAATTGTGCTGGGAGCCTCGGATCTCTGGGAAGTCCTTTCCTTTCTCTGAGCCGAGGGCCCTCCGAGCGCTCCAAATTGGGGTGCGCAACAGCTGGGCACTTGTCCAAATCCGACAGCACCCGCTGCTAGGCAGGGGACCTCCTGCCTCTCAAGCGGGCAACGCCCGCAGCGACACCGACGGCGCAACCGCTGCTCAAAAGGACAGTCTCTGCTCCCGAGAGCCGTGCGAGGGCTCCCGCCGCCCGCCGCCGTGGCCAGACGGCGCGCGGCGGCGGCCCCTGTGCTGTCCGTTCCGTGGGAGCCCGCCTGGCCCCCGGCGCTGCCCGCTTTGGGCCTGATTCGGCACGCATTTTTTTTCTCACTCGAGGAGGTCGCCCCGCGGCGAAAGGAGGTATAGGACAGCATAAGGGGAGGGGAGGAGAGGAAAGGAAGGAGACAGCAGCAGAAGCAAGCAGTGCAGGTGCAGGCAAGCAGAGGATTCGGAAAACATTGGGGACCAGAGTTGGACCAGATTCGCCCAATCGCAAGGGAGACGGGCAGAACGAAGAGAGGAGGGAGGGGGGGGTGAGGAACAGGAGGGGCGATGAGGAGCAGCCGGGAGAGCCAACCGCGGTCGAGATGCGGGCCAAACGTGCTGAAAAAACTGGTCTCAATGTCGCCGCCCAAGGCTCCCATGAACGGATTGAGCAGGGACCGACCGTCCCTGCATTCGTATAATCCTACCACGAAATGCTCTTAGAACCCAACATTGGTGTAAGGACAGAAATACTGTCTTAGAACATAAACCGATGTGTTGAAACCAGACAGTCCTAGCCAAACATGTTCTAAGAACATTTCGTGGGAACCACAAACGGTTCTTAGAACATTCGTTGGTAGGACTGTAGGCGAGCCAGGACGCTTCGCCACTGCTTGACCCAAGGCTCCCATGAACGGACATTGTGAAGGGGAACTGGGACACAAAAGTAAATAGACACAAATAACCAGATTCCCCATAGTTTCCCCCTATTTTCTGGGCTGTTGTCTTCCCCCCACTTTTCATGTTTTCCCATGTTTTCTGGGAATTCGACGATTATGTCATTGTGTCTGTGTGTATATTTTCCCTCCTGATAATGGGAGACGACAGGAGACAGTGGATAGAGAAGGGGAGGCATTCGGAGACAGCGTCGCCCGACCGACTCTGGATGCGGCAGCGCACCACCTGCTTTCGGAGAGGTACTGTACAACCCATGCAGACTAGCCTTGCCGTCGCTCGGACGTCCATTCCCCGTGCATTTTTCGGTTTCGTGCGAATGTTTTTTCCCGCCTGACATCGAGCCTCTGACCCGAGGGCTCTCCCCGACGGCCCTCCGAGCCCTGCCCCTGCCACGCCCGCGCGGCGCGCGGCGCGCCGCGGCGCCTCCGCCCCTGGCGGCTGCGGCGCCCCGACGACGACGCCAGCGATGCCGACGGACGACGCCGACGACGACGCCGACGACGACGACGACGCCGACGACGACGACGACGCCGACGACGACGCCGACGCCGACGACGACGCCGACGCCGACGACGACGCCGACGACGCCGACGACGACGCCGACGACGACGACGCCGACGACGACGACGACAACGACGACGCCTACGCCGACGACGACGCCGACGACGACGCCGACGCCGACGACGACGAACACGACGCCGACGACGCCGACGACGACGACGACGCCGACGACGCCGACGACGACGACGCCGACGACGACGACGACGACGACGACGAGCCCCGCGGCGGCGGCCGCGGCGCTCCCCGCCCGGCCCCGCCACTGCTCGGCGCCCGGCGGCCCGCCGGGCTCCCGCGCGCCGGGCCCGCAGCTCGGCATGCAGCCTGCCCCCGGGAGGTCGCTCGGACGTCCATTCCCTGTGCTTTCGTCCTCCTCCTCCTCCTCCTCCTCAATCATGTGCCCAGGTGCGCGGCCCTGGGGGACGGGACTCAACTAGGAATTGGCGCCAGGAGATCTGGGGAGACATCCTGGCCTCGGCCAAGAGAACCCTCCCCCGCCCAGGTGCGTAGTTTTTTCGCAGGACGATCCAGGATGCTCCGTAATAAGCCCCGCCGAGAAAAAGTGCACGCGTCCGAGCGATACCAGGACTCTGCCCCCTCCCCCCCTCGTCTGCGGCAACTCATGGGAGCCTACCGTCGGACTCGATTGGACAGGACACGCGAGAGGACACAAGACCCTTCCGAGGGCCACATTGCCACAGGAATGTAGGAAGCCTGGGTCGCGAAACACAGGACACAAGGGTATCCTTGATTTGGCAGGGTCGACCTACTAATCGTCTGCGGCAACTCATGGGAGCCTAAGTTTGGACGCCCGAAATGGGCAGGGACGAAAATGGGCACTGTGCCCAACAACAAGTGTTGTCCCAAACCAACAGCGGCCGCTGTTGGGCAGGCGGCCTTCTGTCTCGAACGGACACAGGCCGAGGCGGCGTGGACAGCGAGTTCTGCTCAAAATGAACAGGAACTGCGTTTGGGCATTGTACCCATTCTTTCAGTACCCATTGCGGGGGTCCAAACTACTGTACCATCTTCAGATGCTCGTTCTGGGGACCTTCCTGGAGTTCCTCGCTCCACTCACGCATCGAGGCTGCGTCGAACGTCCGCCGACCTGGGTCGAGCCTGCGTCGACTTGGGGTCGGACTAGAGTCAAGCTGGAGTCGAACAAAAAATCAACAGATCTGCTAGGTGGTCTTCAGTGAGGTCCGCCGGAACGAGCATTTAACTATCTTGCTGGCTCTTGCGGATCGGCGCTGCTCGACGCGAAACCGACGCTAAATCGACGCGCTTTCCCATAGATTACCTGACGCTGGCGCACGCTGACGCACTCCGAAGACGGAATTGCGAGGACATACAAGGCTCCCAAGACTTGCTCGGGGATCTACTGACCCGGGCCAATCCAGACCCGGGTCAGTCGGGCCTCGAAGGATCCTGCAAGAGTCTGCGGGATCCCGCAGGATCCTGCGCCCACAACTGGGTCAGTGCACCCCTGGCCCTGCAGGATCCTGCAAGATCCGGCGCCCCGACTGACCCCCTTTGGCATTACCCCCCGTCTTTGGAGCCCCGATCTGCTACCAAATCCCTCTGCCTGGGCGCTGCCCTATGCGGAAACTCTGAAGGCCTCGCGCGGCCCCTCGGGGCGTACAGTCAAAAACCCTAATAAGGACGCGCGGTAAGGACGCAAGACCCTTGGAAGCCGAAGTTGGGATTTCTGGGGCGGCGGACAACGAAAACCTCAAGGACGCAAGAGCAAGGAAGAGCAAGGACGCAAGGGTACCCTGAGCAAAGTCGCGCGTCCTTATTAGGGTTTTTGACTGTAGTTTTTGTTGACTGTCCTGGGGCCCGGTGATGGCCACCAGGGGCCAAAAACAACGGAACACCTCCCGTCCCTCTCATTTCTGCGGCGCGAGCATGTCTCGCATGGTTGGGCAGGGTCGGGTTCGGACGTCGCCACCCACGAGAGGAAAGGCAGACGGACGCCCAAGCTATGATCCGAGACCCCCTCGCGTCGGGGAAAAAACACGAAGGAAACTCTTGGCGCCGATTTGTTCGGCATCCGGGGGCCCTCAAAAAGCCCCCAGGGCTGCCACATAACCTCTATGGATGAGCAGCCAGTGCCCAGAAGGGGTCTAGACCTCTTTCGAGCCACGTGGCGGAACAAAAACACGACGTCAGATGTCTGGGTACGGCGCGGGGAGGACAGTAAACTAGAATCGGCGATGCTCTGAAGATAAATCGGTTGGTGTTAACCGCCAAAAAAAACCATCCGCACGCTCCTGGGCATGGTAGGGCGCCCAGGCCCAAATACTTACACACACATACACACTTTTTATAACCAGCGAATGGGAGCTCGGTGGCAGAGCGCAGGGGAACGACACGACACGACGACGAAAGCGACGAACGACAGACGAACGACAGACGAACGACGCGAACAGGAGGACGATAGCTGCACACTGACGTTGATGTGGGCCAGGCCGGTCCTGGGACCCGGGGTCCGTCCAGGCCCAACATCGCGAGCGCCCTTCACCCCTGAGATGCGACGTCACGAACACATGGAAACATCGTACACAACCTCACACAGAGCTCAAGATCACATCTGTCTGCGGAAACTTTCGAGCCGAATCGATCAGTGAGTCCTGGAGGCCGCAGCAGGGCAAGACGACCGCCTGTTGTAACAGAGATCCGACGCGCTATGATCTCAGAACCCTAGACACGCGATGTCCTGATGATTTGGGTACGGGGTCCACAAAGTCCCGATCCTTTCCTCAAAACCAATTTTTCCCAGGGGGTCGCTTGCTGACGGTCCAGGGGCCCGGCAAGGCCCTCCGAGGCTGCAAGCTACAAAAGCATACGAATTCTCTTTCGTATATAAAAAATCGACTGCTCGAAAGCTCCCTCGACTGTCGCGGCGCTGTCGGCCGATCCCGCCTGCGTAGCCCGGGTACTTCACGTAGCAGGCGAGGTCGGGGTCGGAGCAGCAGCGCGTCGCGGAGCAGTCTTCCTGGGCCCCCCAGCGCGCCCTGCCACTGAAGTCGAGATGCGTCCCTCCATCATGCCATCAGAGCGACGGAGATACTGAGAAAGCATCGGCAACGACTTCCTCTTTCTGCTCCTGAACCTCCTCCACCTCATCCTTCCCTTCCTCGTCATCGTCATCATCACCACCGTCATCATGATCATAATCATGCTCGCAAACGTCCTCCTCCTCCACCTCCTCCTCCTCATCACCATCATCACCGTTCTCGGCATCGCCATCATAACCTCGTCGTCATCACCATCACCATCCGCATCGTCACCACCAACATCATCATTACCACTAACTCAACATCACCTTCATTAGGATCACCACATTAGTCAAATGCATCATCACCGTCATCGTCACCAGCATCGCCATCACCGTCGTCAACATCAACAGCATCAGCATCATCAATACCATAATCATCACAATCATCATCATTACCCTCATAGTGGCATCACCTTCACCATCACCGACCATTATCACTAACATCGTCATCACCGTCTACGTCATCGCCGTTATCACCATCCCCACTACCATCCTCCTTTTCAACCCACGCCTGGAGAGACGAGGTGTCACAAATGACGGCCGCCCGTGCCCCTTCGAACAGTCGCCACCCACAGTGTCGGGCGGCAAGGGGGTCCCTGCCTCCCCCCTGTCTGCTGGCAGAACCAATGCTGGGCCACCTCTGCTCCCTGGGCCAGCTCCAAGCCCATCCGCACCGCGGCGGCCATGCTGAGCTCATGCCGCTGATTCTCCAAGAGGTTTGTCGACTGCCGACCGCCAGCCAGCAACCGATCTTAAGACTCTCCAAGATTGGAAACGGCCGCCGCGGCTGCGCCAGGGAAATCCCGCCGCACACTCGCCAGAGGGCCCTCCAGCCCGCGCAGGCCGAACTCCGTGCTCGTGCTCAATCTCCTCAGCTCGCTCAGCGTATAGTCAGCCACCCGGATGTGGTAGCCCACGAGGTCGTTGTCGAGTTTGGGGGCTCTCCCTTTAGCCACAAACAGCCCGCAGGCGAACAACAAATTCAGCCAAAAGGTCCGCCCCTCCTCAGTGTAACACCAAGTGCTGACGTAGGCTTGATACCGACTGAAGGCGGAAGGCGAATCCAACGCCAAACCGTGCCCCAGAACCTCGCGCAGCCCAAACGTACGACACGTGTAATTAGGAAACTTGTACTTCAGGGTGGTTCTGGTAAGATGAGCCTCTGGGTCCTGGGAACTACCACCCGTCGTAGACCAACAATGCAACACCAACCCCTCTAATACGTCGCCCAAAACCTGTCCGTGCGGAGAGTCGTGTCGTAGCCCCAAGGGTCGAAGCACTTGGGATTGGAAGGTCGCCTCCGTCATGAAGTCTCGGTGTTCCTCAAGCTTCTGGATGAAAAGCTGGACCTTCTCGGAGCCTTCCACCAGAATGGGCTCGTCCACGGGCACGTTGAAGCGGCGGCAGAAGTCAGAGACGCCCAGGATGTCCTCATATTCGACAAACGAGGCGCGGTCTGCCATCCAGCTCGCAGCTCCCCTCCCAACAGCGGTCACAATCGCACAATTCGTGAGCACCTGCGCCCCGTGAGTCTGATCCCACTCGCTCATGGTCTCGCCGGGGAGACGTAAGACTCGGGTTCGGGGGACTCGGGTTGGCCTGACAGGGGCCATCATGAAAATGGCGCGACCCAGTCTGGCATTCCACGCGAACTCCCGCCGCAGACATCTCGTGACAACTAGACCGTCGAAGTCCAGGACGCGCTCGTCGAAAAGCGTCGGCGAACCCAAGGTTTAGGTCAGGCATGTCCTCCTACAGGCGGGTTTTGGGCGAAACAAGAAGATTGACAAAAGCATGCTCAAACATGAAACATCGTCCCCCGACTACGGTTTGGCTACTTGTGAATTTCCCTCCTGCAGAGGGACAGCCCCGCCTTCACCCGAGCTCTGGCGCACACAGGCCTTACGTTTCCCCGATCTCGGCACACAGAGAGATCTGCTCCTTCCCGAGCTCGGCCAGCAGAGCCCCAGAGATCTGCCGCTCCCAGATCTCCTTCGCGTCGCCCACGAAGGAGCCCATCGCCTCCCTGCTCTCGGCTTCGTCCCTCTGGAGGCCCTGCACGGTGAGCGTCGCCATCTCCTCCTCCAGACTCGCACCCTTACTTCGGCGGCGAGCGAGGGGGGGAAGTGAAAAGGAGAAGGCCTTTTCTCGAGCCTTCTGAGAGGTGCTCTGCGTCTTCGGGAAAGGCTTCGACAACCTCTCAGAAGGCTGGGAGACTTCTCCGAGCCCTCTGTGAAGGCCCACCCCTTCTCACCTGGCCCCCCGGGGTCGCCGCCGATCATTCGTGCTGCCAGCCGGGGCCTGTGGGGCGCCACCGGAGGCCGCGTGCGAGACAGGAGAACCCGCAGCTGCGGAGGAGGACCCCGTGCCTCTCTCGTCACCCGCCTTGGGCGTCGTTGGTGGGGGGGCGATGAGTGGGGGGGGAGGAGGGGTGCAATTTTCGGGGCCCACAGGCCCGCTGTCGGGCCCATAGGGCCCCTTTAGGGGCCCTCAAGGGCCCCTTTCTTGAGCAGGAACCGACCGTCCCGGCATTCCTACAGTCCTGCCACGAGATGTTCTTAGAATCTTAACACATGTACTAAGAACGAAAACAATATTCTTCGAGCATTAACCCGATGTGTGAAAACAAGACAGTCCCAGCCAAACAAATGTTCTAAGAACCTTTCGTGGGAACCACAAAAACGTTCTTAGAACATTCTTTGGTAGGACTACAAGCACGCCAGGACGCTTCGCCACTGCGTGGCTTCTCTGCAGCCCTCCCTGCCCCCCTGATTGACTGCCCCCCGATCACGCGACGCCCAACCACCTCGGTCCCAGAGGGCCGCCGGCCCCAAGCACTCTCCAGCAGGTGCCCGCGGCCTCGCTCCCTTGTCTGCCCGTCCACGTAGATCGCCGAGTTCTTGGAGGTGACCGTCCAGCATGTTCTGGAGGGGTCTCGAGGAGACCGAACCGGCACCACCATCGACAAAAACCCGCTCCACTTCCGGAAGAATCTGATCTCCCGTGCCCCCTTGAAGTTTTCCATCTTCACAACTGGTAGGGCCTTGTCGTTGTCGAACTTGGGGTAGAATCCAAAACTCACGATCTCCCCCGAAGCTCGGTACCACACGATCGGGAATCCCCTCGGGAACGAGCAGTAGTCAGCCAGCCTCTTCAGGTGGCGGTCGGATTGGACCTGAGACTTGACCATGACCAGGAGGGTTGCAGAGTCTAGTGGCTCGTTTGCAGGGTTGCCACCCTTGCCCTCCTCACTGCCCTCCCCAGGAAAGCTCACGACGTGAAACAGCGTTTTCAGCTTCCACTGTAGAGGAACAGAAAACTGCATGAACACAAACTTTTGGAGTCCGCGCGGACTCCTTGGATCAGCGATGGACCTCCCTCCCTGGCGCGATGAGCGCGCCAGGGGCGGCGCCGACAGGGGTCTGCAGCGCCGATCCAGGAATTCCACGCGGAGCTTCGAACGTTCATGTTTATGCAGCCGTTTGCTCTTCGAATTTAGAATCCTGCAACAAGTCGGCCAAGGTTTTGTTGTGGACGGGTGCTCTCGACTTACGCAGGTCTGCCACCAGCGCCGTCCTCAGTTCGGGAGAGGCCGTGACGCGGTGGCAGGGTGCAAAGAGTTGGGCAGCCGATCCGCCGCTGGCAATCGATGCCATTGTGCCAAGGGAACAAGAACATTAGTCAAGCGATGCATGGCTCGATGAGGCTCGAGCAACAAAAGTGTAAATGAGTACGGGATGGGGACGTGGAACGACGACAACGACGAAGATGTTCGAGGCGATAGTTCCCAGTCGAACTTCGGGACCGTGGGAAATCTGGCCAAGGTGGGAAACTGGCCAGGATGGACCGATGGAGCCTGGCAGGGGTCCGAGGACCAACCACGCGGATTCTAATGGGAGTGGATTCGGGGAACGATACCCACAAGGCGTCTATTCAGTCGAGCTTGATTGGAGAGGACACGCGAGAGGACTCAAGACCCTTCCGACGGCCATGTTGCCATGGTGATGTAGAAAGCATGGGTCGCGAAACACAAGGCACAAGGGCATTCTTGATTTGGCAGGATCGACCTACTATTCAAACTCGACTGTACACCACCACCATACCTTGCATGGAGCATCCTGGGTCAAATGATACTGCATGGGCCCTCCTGGAGCAGCATGGCTGCCTCAAACGCTCTGCCACTGAAATGCACTGCTCCGCCTCATCGACGCAGAAACTCAGAAGATACAGTCAACGCTGACAGTGAGGATGCGCGATGAGGATGCAAGCCTCTTGGACGCCCATGCTGAAGTTTTTCGGGCCTGGTTGGCCATCGGAAGGGGTTGAGGATGACCGGAGAGGAACTGACGCAAGGGTATACTTGGGAAGCCGATCATCCTTACTATCGGTGCCGACTGTACGATGGATCGACCACGACGACGGCGACGATGACGATGTACTATGAAGAGTTGCTCACCATTGCAAACCTCTCAATAGGGGAACTCGGAGGTCTGCGCGGATTTCTTGGATCGGCGCTGGGGCCCCCAGGCGGCGCCTCCGGCGCCTCCGGCGCCGCCCCTGGCGCGAACCGAGTTTTTATGTTTGTGTCATTGTTCGATCCCCTACTCAAGCCCAATGCCGACTTCGGGACAGGCAGCAATCGATCCAGGGTAGCTGGGTGACGAAGGTATTCGGAGGGCAGCGGCTCGAAAATACGAGTCTTGGACGTGCTGCGCCCTGTCTGGTGCTCATGGAGCGTCTTCGTCGCCACGACTGGGTCCCACGCGAAAGCATGCTCCAAACGCACCTGGGAACAGGTCAGGGAGTCGATGACTGAAAGATGCAGCCCCTCCTCCTCCTCCTCCTCCTCCTCCTCCTCCTCCTCCTTCTCCTCCTCCTCATCCTCATCCTCATCCTCATCCTCCTCCTCCCCCTTCTCCTCCTCCTCCTCCTCCCTCCTCCTCCTCCTCGTCCTCCTCCACCTCCTCCTCCTCCTTCACCTCCTCCTCCTCCTCCTCCTCCTCCCCCTCCTCCTCCTCCTCCTCCTCCTCCTCCTCCTCCTTCTTATCCCACGCCATTCAAATTTAAAAAAGGCCTTCCGCCATGATCGGCTTATGGCGGCATCTTCCGGGGTACAAGAAAAAGGGCCAGGGTTGATCCTGGAAGAGGTCCAGGGACTGATTTCGAGCGGATCTTGGTCAAGGCGGAGTTGGGGCATCACCGCCATACCTGGCCAGTGCCCAGGATGGCAGGATAGCCGTGGCCAGGACAAGTGATGTGTGTAGATGCCTTCTGCGCAGGGAAAAAGAAAGAGAAGTAGTATTGCGAGGCACAACTGAGGGGCAACTTCATTCGAACGGCTTGCGCAGACCGACAGCGCCGACTGGAGATCTAGGCGCTTACGCGCGCGACCTTACGCGAACAATTTACACACGAATGTCCCTGTTCGTGCGTCGCGCACCTGCAACCCAGAGAGGGAGAGAGAGAGAGAGAGAGAGGATAGCAAAACATGTGACCTGGATAGGAACACTGGGACAAGTCAGGACAATCTAACCGAACTCAGGACTCGGGAGCTTGCGTTTCACAGAGTGCGGCTAAGAACGCACAGGCATCCACATCGTCCTCGGGGAGCTTGTGGGCTGAAGACTGCCTGGAAACGCCTTCCCCTCCTCCTCCTCCTCCTCGTCCTCCTCCTCCTCCTCCCTCCACCGCCAGCCCGATGTCCCGATCCTGTGGCAGGGCCATCGGCTCGACGTTGTCGCTGTCTTCGTGGTCGTCGTCCTCCTCCTCCTTTCGAGTCGGCGGCAACGGCCGTAAGGCCTTCACCATCTACAGGCATCCACATCTTCTTCGGGGAGCTTGTTGACTTCACACTGCCGAGAAAAGACGGCGAACCACGCAACCCTGCCCCCCGGGGACCAGCTATTCACCCTGAACATCTGTACTGACGGTCGCCGGGCTTTAAGAAACCCGACAACAATCAAACTAACTCATGATGCGGGCAATATCTACATCCATATCCGGTGCGTCCTCTACTTTTTGTGAACGAGGCGCCGCAGGGCCAAGATGCACTGGATATGGATGAACATCGGGCATCTACGGGGCAGAAGTTTATCCATATCCAGGTCGCATCAGGTTTCTAGGGAGGGGAGCCCGAAACTCCAAACCTCAGTGGATATGAACACAAATCTCGCCCGCACATGGGCAGGAACGGCTTCCTTCACGACCCACTTGATTGATGGTGAGGTTAAAATCGTCCTGCGAAGTCGAATCGGAATGCGTCGAAAGTAGGTCCCATGACGTTGTCTGCGCCTCGAAATCTATATCTGGCGGCACCCATGAAGGGGTGACACACGGCCCTGGCGGCCTCTGAGAAAATGCCATAGCTGGGGGGGGCTTCTAAGAAGCCCCCCTTCCTCCTCAGAAGCCTCGCCGCGCCTGCATCTGCACTCGCCTTCCTGTCATCCTCCTCCGCCTCCTCCTCCTCCGCGTCGTCTGCCCTCACCCTGCTCCTGTTGAGGAGGGGCGCCCGCTCGCGATGCGCAAGGTGGGCGGCGACTGCCCGTGGGCTCCTGGAGCTAAAACTTCCCCTGAGATCCTGGCGTCGCAAGTGGTTCATACCGTGCGCTATCGCCCTGTTTCGGGCCCCTGGACCCTCACAGATCGATCCAAGTCGGGAGGTGCCGCAGAAATGACGAACCAACAACACACACCCATACCCATAGGGGAATCGGAGAGGGCTGTGGGTGCGTGCTGTCGGATGGGGGTCCCAGGGTCCGACAACCCGCACCCATACCCATATCCAGTCCTCCTCCCAACGACCTCCCTATGGGTATGGGTGTGTGTTGTTCGTTCGTCAAGAAAGGTAAGGTTCCAATCGTGATTTCCCATGGTGCTCTAAATCTTCTCGCGACGTCGGATCTCAGGGTTCACTGAACAGGCAACAGGCGTAGCGGGGCAGCGCTGGAACTCTTTGGGACGGGAGGCATTATCTGGGAGGCCTTCGTCGAAACGACTGAAAGCTAAGGGGCCACTGACCCAAATGAGGACGGATGCAAGCCCAGGTTTGACCCGTGGACTGGCCTGACCCATAGATTCGGCCTGTTGTTCAACCAGAGATCTGCCGACACCACTTCTGAAGTTAACCTCCCAAGAACTGCATTTCAGCCATGGGGCCCTTCGCGGCGACCTCAGCCGGCGCATGGACCGCACAGCGTGCTCTTGGACGGTCGTCCGTGGCGGCTTCGGCCCCGAACGGCCCTAGGCGCGCCTGACCAGGACCCTCGACGGGTCCCTGGCGGAAGAACCCGGGACCCAGGTTTCTTCGGCATGGACCCAAGGGGACACAAACATAATGAATCCACACACACACACACTAAAAATGCAAAATGTGTTCCAAATGTTCCTGTTCCCCCCGCTTCCCAAGAATTCCCGTTACTCCCATGAGATTCCTGAACTTGTCCGACGAAGCTCCGATCTCCATTTTGGTCGCCGACACACTTGGCCTGCAGGGCGCCCCTGGCTCGCCCTGAAGAAGCACGGTGTGCGTCCGACAGACCCGTGGCTGGCTGAGCGCGAAGGGGAATATCGACGTGGCAACTGTCTCGACCTCGGCTGGCCAATGGAGGACCCTGTCCCGCCATGGAAGATCGGAAGTCCGATCCCGGGGCGCACGCGCGCATGGGACAAAGGCAGACAAGGGATCAATGGATCACGTCGAATGGGGAGATAAATCGCCAGGGGGTGGAAATTGGCATCGGGCACCGCGGCCAATTCCAGAGCGCTACGGGACGCCCCACAAGCGTTCCAAAAGGCAGCAATCCAACCTCAGCCTACCAATGGGACGATACCGGTAATCATATGACTTCTCGGAGGCGCGAAAGATTTCTCTGCTCGGCACTGGACCCTCCCTCCGTGGCGTTGGGCGCAAGGTAATTGGGCCGATGAATGGCGCGCGCGCTCCTTAGTTCCGTTTTACTTTGTTTCGGAAAAAACTGACAATCTATTCGTACGACATTAAGAAATAACTTGAATGAGACCACGACGGACAAAACATCAAACACATCGAAACGGCAATGGAACTGACACGACACACAGAAGATGCTGGAACGAAATGGAACGAGACGGAAAAAAACACCTAAAACACCAAAACGAATCTAGAGCGTCCCATCGTTGACAAAAAACCAGCATGTAACGACATCTCGTTCAAAT